GTCATTTTTGGGGAAACAGCGTCTCCCTTTTTGGCCGTACGCTCTGTTATTCAAAGTGCAAGAGAAGCAAAGGATAAATACCCAAAAGCAGCAAAGGCAATAGAAGAAGACTTCTATATGGATGATTGTGTAACAGGTGATGAAACAATAAGAGGAGCCATAGTATTGGCTCAAGAGATGGATGAAATTTTAAAAGGCGCCGGATTTAGATTGCGCAAATGGAAATCAAATAGTAAATTGGTTATGAGAACTATGGATTCAGAAAATACAACAGAAGTCATATTTTCAGAGGAGGAAGACACAACCATTTTGGGATTAAAATGGTTGATACAAGAGGATTTATTCACATTTGTAGTGAAACAACAAAGAATGGAGGATAAAATCACCAAACGTAAAGTAGTAAGTTTTGTGATGCATCTTTACGATCCGATTGGTCTCATCTCACCTGTCACGATCAAAGGAAGGATTTTTATTCAGGATTTGTGGAGATTGAAACTCGACTGGGATGAAGAGCTTCCAGAGGATATGAAGAATAAATGGAATAGCTACTGGATGGAGATTATATATTTGGAGAACTTCACCATTGAAAGATGGTTAGCCACAAAATCGGAATCGAAAATACATTTACATGGATTTGCCGATAGTGGAGAACCTGCTTTAGGAGCTGTGTTGTATGTTCGAATTGAACATCTGGATGGATTAGTTACATGTCAACTTGTGACTTCAAGATCACGTGTAGCGCCACTTAAAACAGTATCTATACCAAGATTAGAGCTGTCAGCAGCTGAATTACTTTCACGTCTGATAAAAGAAGTGAGAAAGACTATGGAATGGTCTTCAGTTGATTATACAGCGTGGACGGATTCAAGTTCAACATTTCATTGGATTCGGCGTGTACCGCGAGAATTAAAAACTTATGTAGCCAACAGAGTGTCTTCAATACAATCAAATACGGATATAGAAAAGTGGAGACATATCAGTGGAAAGGATAATCCAGCTGATTTGTTAACGAGAGGGATCTCAGCAAAGGATTTAGTTGACAATAGTTTGTGGCTACATGGACCGGATTGGTTGTTACACAAACCTTCAGAATGGCCTTTGAGTCCAGTGATGCAGCAGATTTCAAAGGAGACAATGATAGAATGCAAGGTATTTATGATATCTGAATATAAGGATCAGTTACGGATAGGATTAAAAGGTACAAAAACCAATGAACCATTGTTAAAGTATACTAGCAAACTGGAAAAGGCAATTAATATTCTTTCATATGTTATACGCTTCTTAAAAAATTGGAAAAATCGTAAGGATAAAATTATTACTCGACCTCGAAGGAAAGTAATAGAATTGAAAGCCTTTCCTCCAACTTTGGAAGAAAAGGCAGAGGCAATGGAGTATTTATTAAGAAAGACTCAGCAGGAATATTTCAATAAAGAAATGACTGCAATGAAACAAAACAAAAGGATTCCAGAGAAAAGCGTTTTAGAGTCGCTCAATCCTATTTTGGATAAGGATGGATTGATTAGAGTCGGAGGACGGATAGAAAGATCGGAGCTGAATTACGAAATGAAGCATCCTGTAATTGTGCCTCATGGATCTCGCCTTGCTAAACTCATAGCGGATTACGCGCATCGGATTACCAAGCATGGAGGTGTGCAACAAATGACTCAATTTATCCGTCAAAACTATTGGATTCCAAAAATACGAGATTTATTGAGGTCCATTGTACACAAATGTATAGTTTGCGTGAGATTGAATGCACGGATGCAAACTCAATTAATGGCCGATTTACCGGCTGAGAGGACTCAAGTCGGTAAACCATTTATTAATACTGGAGTGGATTTTGCTGGACCATTTAGTATAAAACTGATTGGAGGAGAAATACACAAATGTTGGATTGCAATATTTATTTGTTTAAAAACAAAAGGTATTCATATCGACGTTGTCACGGATATGACAACAGTGGCCTTCATCGCATGCTATGAAAGGTTTATAGCCAGGAGAGGTCGTTGCGAAAGGATGTGCAGTGACAATGGTACCACCTTTGTCAGTACGAATAAGGAGTTGAAGAAAGCAATGGAGAAATGGTTGGATAAGGATACATTAGACCATTTACATTACAAGGGAACGAATTGGAAGTTTATCACTCCAGCAGCTTCTCATCAAGGAGGGATTTATGAGGCGGCTGTAAAATCGATGAAGTTTCATCTAAAAAGGATTATTGGGATCAAAACATTGTTGTACGAGAATTTCATCACATTGCTTGCTCAAATTGAAGCAATTTTAAATTCTAGACCATTATACCCACTAAAGGATGATCCAACGGATATACAGGCATTAACGCCCGGACATTTCCTGGTAGGGGAACCATTGATCTTACCATTACCATTCAGTATAGATCCAAAACCCACCACGGATAGGATAAGATTGTGGAAGGATCGTCAAACCATGATCAAGCATTTTTGGCAAAGATGGAAGGAAGAGTATTTAACCAGTCTTCAAGAACGGAAGAAATGGAGAAGAGAACAGGAGAGTATGAAAATAGGACAATTGGTGGTACTCAAAAGTGAGAATCATCCACCAGCTAGTTGGGCACTGGGACGCATAGTGGAGTTGTTACCGAGCAAGGATGGATTAGTTCGGAACGTTATTGTTGAGACAGCAACAAATAAGTTCAAAAGAGCTGTGCAGAAAATTTGCATCCTACCAGTGTCACCGGATTAGAGGAATCGAGGAGGATCAAGGGATTGTCATCGGAAAAGGATTCTTCTTAAAAAACCAGAGGTTTTGCCCGGACTGTATCGTATGGCAACACTTGCCATACGAGCAAAATGTCAAACA